TGTGTATGCAAAGTTTTTAATAAAAATATTAAGGAAGGAGTATAATGATTTCCCAGCTGGTAAAAGACTACGACAGGGAGACGCGATAGAAAGAAATTGCTTTATTGTCATAAAAAAATTTTACAATTTTGTTGACAAAGCTTAAAAAAAACAATATAAGAAACATACAAAACTTCACTTAACAATAGAAAAACATATAAAACTAACAGCAAACATACAAAACTAAAACAATACTTTATACAATTATAGAAATTGTACATTGTCAAAAATTTATTTAATTAAATATAAATAAAATATAAACATACATGTAAATAAACAACTGTATATAATGTCAATACTAAATTTAAATGGATAGAAAACAAATCATTTCTTAAATTTAGTGAATGTGTGTTAAATTTAGAACCCTAGATATTAATAAAAAAATCGTTAACCGCGTAAAAGGCTTTCTCCAGTAAGTATGATCTCAAGGCTCTGCGAAATGCAGGAAAGGATGAAATGGAATTAATTTCAGATGGCAGATGATAGTGCATTTTTTTTTGCATTGTACAATTGGGAACTCTTTACTAACTCAGAGTGAGGGGTTGGCAGATACATGTTATGCTCTGCGTTCCTAATTGGATAGCCATGAACTGGCTCTAGAGAAATACTCGATACGTGCTTGCGAACTAGGCAGACGGATTCGAGTATGAATAGGGAAGGAAGAGTTAATATTTTATATCTTCTAAACAAGTCCCGGCAGTGAGCACAACTGGTTAGCCTCAGTGAATATCGCACAGCTCTCTTTTGTAATTTGAAGATACGCTCAAATTGAGTCGCACAACACGCACCCCAGAATGGAAGTGCGTATCGGAGATGCGACTCATAAAGGGCATAATAGACTGTCCTAGATGTTGACAAATTAAGCACATTAGCAACTGATCTAAGTGCGAAACAGGCAGAACTTAATTTTTTAGCTAAAGCATCGATGTGCAAATCCCATTTTAAATAGTTGTCCACAACAAGGCCTAAAAATTTCACAGAATCAACGACGTCAATGGTGGTATTATCAAGTTGAAAAGGTAGCAACGTACTTTTATATGATAAGACTTTAGTTTTAGAGACGTTGAGACTAGTGATGGGATCACTCGAGTGAAAAATACTCGGTCATCCGAGTATTCATATCCTCGGTATGTCTCGAGCATTTTTGTCGATCCTCGAGGATTACTCGGCGGCCCGCAACAACATCGAGTGTGGCGTACCGACCTCGCTGCTCGCGACGATACAGGCGATTTACGATATGCTGAAACCTTTTTTGTGTCGTTAATCGATGATTACTCGGCACGCAGCTAACATCGGGTGTAGCGTACCGTCCTCGCTGCTCGCGAGAGGTACAGGCGATTTACGATTTATGCTGAAACCTTTTTCTGTCGTTAGTCGATGATTATTCGGCACGCAGCTAGCATCGGGTGTGGCGTACCGTCTCGCTGCTGAAACCTTTTACATAGAGGTTAACCTTTTAATTTTAATCACTTGCTCGTATATCGTTCGCAATAATAATCGGTTTTCAGAGTAGTAACCTGCATTTTGAACAGAAATACATTACTTATTTTTGTTTTGTTTAGTTTAGATGGGATATATTAATTATAATATTTCTTTAAACGATAAAGATTTTTTCTCCATACTTTTTTTTTAAAAGATTTATAGATTTTAATTATTGATATAATGTTTTTGTGTAATAATTCGGAAATAAAAATTCATAATATAATGTCAGTTTTCGACTGTCAAAATTCCATTAGACAAAACCACAGTTGTTTATTTGGGTTAAGGCTTTGGAATTTTGCTTTATTTACATTTTTAAGTTTTATTTTACGTGTTTTCTTGTAAAAAAGTTTGCTTTGTAGTTGTACGTTGGGAGACTATATTCTGATGAAAGTAAAATCGAAATTATAATATATGATTTAAGCTACATTTAATATTATATTTATGTTTTTTTTGGGATAGAGGATGACTGTTTAAATTAAATACTTGTTCGTATAACAATAATAATCGGGTTTCAGAGTATTAACCTGCTTTTTCCAACAGAAAACATTAATTATTATTTTTTTAAATACAAAATTCTAAGAAATAATATGAATACTCATGGATACTTTAGATATTTATTTATAACATACATATATATTGCTTATTCATTAATACAAAAATACTTATTTAACTTGATAAAGCAGAATTCAGAAAAATAATTTTATCAACATTTTTGGAACCAAGTCTATTTCTTCTCGAACACGTGAGCTGGCCAGCTTTAGAAAAATTCCTTTCCGATGGAACTGAAGTTGCCGGGATGCAAAGATATTTGGTAGCCAGATCATACATTTCGGGTAAGGTTGTTTTGTAACGACGCCACCATTCTAAGGGATTTTCAGTTCTTGGAAGTGGTTGCATTTCAAGGTACTGTCTCACCATTAAAATTAATAGGCTTCCAGGCGTTGAATGGCTTTTAATATTCGTAACCTTACTATCGAAGTGTGTCCATATGCCTTCAGTTGATGCATGCAGATTTAGACTTTCTGAGTTAGCAGATTCCAATGTGCTGTGAGCCATAGTTTGATTGCTTAATATGTTTTATGATAGTTCTTCCGTAATCCACTTTTTGAGCGTTGTTTGCATTGTCCTCTGAACCAAATCCAATTTTTTAAATCTGGGTCCAAAAACGTAGACTTGGCGACAGTTTTGTTACTTTCATAACCACCAAGTCTTCGTGTGACAACTTCCAAAATCTTCAGTTGTAACGATTTTCCAATTTCAGTGCTGGGAGTAGTTTGTTTTATAGTATATTCAAATCCATGGAACAATGGAATCACTAAAGATAATGTTGGATATTTCTCAGCAGACAAAGTAGTGGACATGTCTTCTGCTGGTTTTAGCATGAACGCAGTCCTCTAATACTTTCCATTCATTGGCACTCAAAATATCAGGTGCATTTGGAAGGCTAGCCATGGCAACGGAAAGAGCATCTTTAATTTCAAGTAGTCTTCTTAACATATGAAGACAAGAATTCCACCAGTGGCAACATCTTGCTTAACTTTTAAAATTGGAAGGCCCATTTGTTGTTGTGTTAATTTAAGTTTTTCAGAACCTTGTACACTATGTTTAAAGTAACCAACAATTGACTTACATTTTTCAGAAGCTCCATCAAAGCAGAGTCTTTTAGCGCCTCATTTACACTAAGATTTAGCGTGTGTGCAACACAGGGATGATGGTGCATTTTCAGGTGATCATTTATCGCACATTTAATGTTTGCGGCATTATCAGAAACGACAGTCGCAGTTTTGTTATAAACATTCCATTCATTTAATATTGTTGTTATAGCTTCGGCTAAGTTTTTGCTTGTGTGGCTGGGTGTTGACATAATCAGCGTGGCATCTTGTGTCGCTAACACACGTGAAAAGAGTATGCTATCCCATATGTAATGACATGTTACGGTAATATACCCAATATTATTATCAGATGTCCACATGTCTGTAGTTATTGCTGTATATTTTATTTCATTTAAAATGGTTTTAAAGCGACAGCTGATTCGTTGTAAGCCTTTAGGTAATATTTCATTAGCTAATATTTTCCTATTGGGAGGGCTATACAACGGATTCAAGGCTTTAGTGTACTGTAAAATCCAGTATTTTCCACAATCGAAAGAGGTTGAAAATCCGAGACAATCATCAATAACAATTTTTTTCGATTTCGGCAATTTTTGCTCTGGAAAGTTCGTTACTTGAAGCGTATAATTTCATTTGCTTAGAGCGGCGTCCACTAATATTCGACGTAACAACACTTTTTGCTACAGGATGGTAAACTTTCGGATGAAATATTACTTGACGGCAAGGTACTGATGAAGTTTTGCTGCAGGACGGCAAATTGTTTGTAGCCGCAGGAGTATCTCGAACCTCATCAACTTCCATAGCTTCATTTGGAGGTAAATTTTCTTTCTGTATTTGGAGCGGATGAAGCCTTTTCAAATGCTGCATTAAATTTGTTGTGCCTCCGAAGATTTTTAAAGTCTTTTTGCAAATGGAGCATGATGCACTTTTATCTTCATTTTTTTAAAATAGTCCCAAACAATTGATTTTTAAAACTGGACATTATGCCGCACGGAAACTTAAAATATGCACGATAACACAACTACTACAGTTTATTAGGTACTACGTACTACAGTTTATTTTCGGTGACAATACGCTATTAAAAAGTAAAACAAAATATATTTTTATCTCACTGACCTACCGCCGACAAATAAACAATAAATAACAGACCCTTCTAAAAAAAAGCCGCCCGTATTTCCTAGAATTACTTGTTTACATTTGGCCTGAAAGGTTGCCGATTAATCTCAAAGTCGGAGTTAAACAAAAACAGCACAATTTAAAAGCGAACCCCTAAAATGTTATTTCCCACATCAAATTATACACGAAAATATTAAAAATTATTAAAAAAGTGTTTAAAATAATTATTTATTTTTATTACAATATTATTCAAGTTATTCAGGTACATGACAACAGTGTGTTAAAAACAGCAAGCAGATCACCCCAGCACCGAGCATTATTCAGTTGATTCAGGTATCAATCGGGATATTATACAGAGAAAATTTTATGACCGAGGATTCCTCGGATGATCATCCGATTATTGGAATCCTCGAGGATAAATACTCGAGGATTAAAATCATCCGATTTTTCCCAACACTACACTGAGAAAAATAATGAGGTTATTAATTAACATATAATTATTTGGATGGTTTTTACTAACAAAAAATATAACAAGTTTTCTATAAAAAAAAATTATTCACTATTAATAATTTATAGAAAAATCAGTTTTAATTAAAAACAAATGCTTTGTTTGGCGGTCATAATTTTATAACTAATGATACAAATTTAATCCTAATAATTTCGTTATTAAATTATATTACCAAAATATTTTTTTACTATTAATTTTAATTTTATTAATTTTAAATCAATTTATATTAATAGTTAATAAATATCTGCATTTGGTGTACTCCACATTATTTTTTATAAAATAAATGAGTTTGTTATCAGATACGAGCGTAAGTTGTTTTTAAATAACAAATATATTAATAATTAAAATACCTATTTGTTATTTAAAAACAAATCAACCGCCGCGCCGCCCGCGCCGGCCCTCACTGTGTCAGTGTGTCTTATTTACTCTGCTACAGGTGTCGTCGTTGCAGCACGTTTTAAGTTTTAAGCACGTTTAAAACTGTTTAAAAGCACCAGAAAGCACGTTGCAGTTCGACCGGCCGCGCCGTGCGTGGGTGGTATTAAGTTTTTGGTTTTTGTTTTTATATCTTATCATAATCTTATCTTACATCGGCCATTGGCATAATTTGCATCTCAGCCATCTCGTCTTCGTAGTATATTCTGTGATCTCGTCGTTCTGTGCGTGTCGCTGTGATATCATATCTTATACTGTTTTGGGTTTTAGTAAGTTTTGGGTAGGGTTATAATAGACATGGAAGACGAAGATCAAAATGATCTGGAAACATTTCTTGATGAAAATGGCTTCCATTTTATAATTGATGCTTGTCGAGGTAAGTAGGACTATTAGCTATTTCGATATAAGTTTCACAGCTAAATGCTGTTAATTTGATTCATACAGCTAAGTTAAAAAAGTTAATTATATGTGATTACTTTGTTAGTTAAAATGATTATATTTATCTTATTACTTTAAATTGTATTGCTAAATCGAAGCGTCCTAAAGTACCTAATTTACGTTTAATTAATAATAAATAAACTAAACTTAACAGCAAATATGCTTGCATTTTTATAAATATATTTGTTAGCTAAACGTAAACTGTAATTTAAAATTAATAATATTGGGTTCTGTTAAGCAAATTTATTAATAGTAAATAACAGATTGAAAGCCTTAAAAATCTCCAAAAAAAAATGACGCGGATAGTTTATGAGTTGGACCCAAATGACAGGCGGTGAATCAGTTCTTCAAAGTAAAGAATATTTTAGATTTTTGATCATTTTAAACTGCTGCTGCTGCCTGGTAGGTAGGTACAAACAGCTCAACGAGATTTTGATTAAGTTGATGGATGCATACCTATTGATTGGGCAATTCTGTTGTGAATTTTCAAATACTTAATATTTTTAGAGTTTTTAGATTGCATCCACCCTTGTCTCCATATTACAATTTTTTCAAGTATTAATAAATAAATAAATTTGCTTATAGTAAATAGGCATGTATTTCTATTAATATATTTGTTAGCTAAGCATAAAATAAATTATCAATAACTTTGTGGATATTCTGTATGAATGGCATTAATTAAATGGTTAATATTCATAATTATACATATTACTTAAGTACTTATTTTTAATACTAAAATTATTATGTTTGCAGCAAATGGCGTGGATAGCTTGCAAACATTAAAACAGATTGTTGGTGATGCTAATGAATGTAAGGAATTTATTCCTCAATTGGGGCAACGAATCAAATTGAAGGCAAAATTGGATGGCATTAATTTAGAACATAACCAAAGTCAAATGTAAGTCTCTATGGCTTTTTTAATTTTACTTATGGGTAGCTGGTGTTTATTTTAAACAATCACGTTGGATTAGCCTGAGCTTAATAATTAACAAATAAAATTGATTAAATTTTTGTTATATAGTGTTATTCTTTTCTTATTTTTAGAATTAACAGTGAAGAAAATAATGAAGAAATATCAGAAGAACCAGGTGCAAATAAAGTATTTGTCCTAGATGTCGATAACCAGCCTATGCCAGTTGCACCTAATATACAAAATGTACAATTCTTGCTAATGGATGACGACTTATCGCTTCAAAATAAACCTTGCTCCGATTTATCAATAGCTTCAACCTCAACCACTACACTAGTTGAACCGGCAAATGGTATCAATGAAGTGATTTTGAATTTTAATATTTCTCAACTATTGGATGCTACGTCTATGGGAAGAGCTGTAAAGGCGCTGTACAAAGCAAAAAAAACTCTAAGTAGTAAATGTCAATCATATTTAGTTGAAATAATCGTTCAGCACTTTATTAATGCTGTACCATTTAGGTAAGACTATTGTTTTGTTTTTTAAAGACACATTAGTTTTTTTACAGTTTTTTTTTTATTACAGAAGACTAACTAACGAAGACTTTCGAAAAATATCAAAACTCATTGTTGAAGAATTTCCAAACGAACTACCTCAAGTCTATTTCACTTCCCCAATAAGGAAAAGGAATTCACGGGACCAAAAAACTGGTATTGCCAGGGGAAAATTGGTAGATAAATATAGGAATAGATTAACCTTCCTAAGAGATTCCGGTATTCTCTTATCATCCAGAAGTTCATTAGAGGTCAATGACGATACTACAGATGCCTCAGAAAATTTTGATTACAATGGTAAGTATGTAATATAATCGAAAACATAATGTAGAGAAACAAACACTAACTGAGAAAACTGAAAGATATGTATGTATTTCAAAAAAATTTCTTCATATATTATCTTATTACTACTTATTACTTCAAAATATCTTATTAATATAATCGACTCACTAATTTGTTTAGGTTCAATACAAAATATACATCACAATTTTTTGCGGCTAGTGTATTACTTATTTATAAAAATCTATTTTAGTTTTGATTTGTTTTACAGTTAACATGTCTTTACTCTTTAATATCCCTCAATTATAGGATGCTATTTTGTTTTTGTAGAAATTGGGTTAAAGTGTGTCATAAAAATCAGTTAAATGAATGTTTATAAGCAGAAAATTTAGCTGATGTAGGGCAAGTGAGCTAATTTCCGCGAATTAATAAACATTTTTTAACTCGTATACAGGGTGTTTCCTAACCTCTCTGACAAAATGAAAGGGGTGAATCCTCACTTAATATTAAGACGAAAATGTAGAATAAAATTTTTTCGTAAGTACCTTAGTTTTCAAAATACAGGGTGTTAAAAATTAATTTTTAAATTGGTTTTTTATTCCTATTTTAGGATACGGAAAAAGTCAAGAGATAAAGAAGTTGTTATTTTAGTTACTTAATAAAAAAAATAATGAAGATTTAAGAAAGTCAGTGGCGTATATTTTTTTCTCAATTATGTTGGTTAGGGTGCCTCTCGGGACGCCATTGTAGTTTGGACAATTTTTATCTGTTTATGGCTAAATAAGCCTCTTATCAATACACATAATGTTACCAAATTTCAACAAAATTGGTTACCCAATTCCTAAAATAGGAATAAAAAACCAATTTTAAAATTAATTTTTAAAACCCTGTATTTTGAAAACTAAGCGACTTACGAAAAAAAATTATTCGACATTTTCGTCTTAAAATTAAATGAGAATTCACCCCTTTCATTTTGTCAGAGGGGTTAGAACACCCCTGTCTACAAAACTTTACCCCGTTTGAAGAAAAAATCCACGAAGTAAATTGCATTTAAAATTGATTAAAAATTTGGAGAGTGAGTTAAAACAAATTAAATCAATAGTGAATAAACATCTATTACCTAAATTTGTTGTTATACGCTGAATAATGTCATTTTAAAACGTCAAATGTTTTTCACGCTTTTTAATTTTTTATAGGTGACCACGATGAAATCATTACGTGGCTCAAAAATAATCAAGAGCCATGGTCCGATGTAGTTTCTAAATGGAATGCCACATATGAATATAGACAAAGGTTGTACATGCGTCACGAAAATCTTCAAGAAATTTTGGCCGTATTTCCTATCATACAAAATCCTTTAGGGCATAGGTTGATAGACATTGATTTTGAAAAAAGATTTCCAAGCCACAACCTATTGTATAATAATTTTGAAACAGTTTTTAATAAACTGTTGGAACTGAAGAAAAAAAGTTTAAATCAAAGTGATTCCCTAATAGTGGATATCATTAAGAGCAACACTATAAATAACGGTAAGGGCAATCATGAATACTACTAATTACTGCTACAGAGATATTGAGCTTTACGAGATATTGAATTTATTCCTTACTTTACAACCTCCCTGTATAGTGTTCCTAATTGCTTAAACTTTCTCTTTACATACTTCTTCATTATATTTTGTTTTTCAGATAGTCGTCACTATTTGATGCTAATGCTATTACCAGCTTTACTACCAACCAAGACCTATAATAAAAAAGGAAAAAATAGCTGGTATCCAACATCAACTGAAATAATCAGTGGAATAGTTATTCAAGTTAAGGTAAGTAGATGCCTATGAATGCAAGGTCACACTTTGTGTGTAGATCATTTTACACGAAATGTGTTTTAGTTTTCGAAGTCTTTAGGTATATGCAAATTCTTTTATGTCGAATTATTTAATATGTGAAAAAATTAAAGAGAGTAGCTATAATAACTTGTCAACAATCTCTCTATTTTAGATTTTGGACTTTTTTATTTTGTTCTTTGTTTTTTAAGTTAAACTGGAACCTAAATCGAAATATTTTCCTTTATTAAATTTTTTTGTGCAGGTTACTACGGAAATACTTATTATTAATTTGCATTTTAATTTAGATTCCAGGAGACATCCCTAATATAATTGACGAAAAGCGCAAGAAGTTGGTCAAATATGGTTTGCCATTACTGCCATTTGTTATAATCGAGGGTGCTTCCTATACAGATATAAACCAAATTTATGTAAGTTACGATAGTATCATGTATAGAGTAGTGTCAGTTTTAAAGGCTGTAGATATTTGTTTTCAACTGATGCATACATTAAATTTAAAATATCCCTATGAGTGTGAACATGTGTGGATGTTTATACAATTGGGAATTTATAATTTGAAAACAGTCTATGACAAAATACCAAATATTCTAGATATAGTGAACAAGATTAAGTCTTCGGATTAAATCAAAAGAATCTCAACTAAGCAATGAAGTGCAAACATTGCTTAAAAATTTTTGTTAAAAACCAAAGTTTTTTTGCTCACATGACAGCCACTCATAGATTTTTAAATTCATTTTCTTGTTGCTATTCCAAATGCACTAGAATTTTCAGTTCTTTATGTTCCCTCAAAAAACATATACTAACTTTTCACGATGACAGTATTTTTCACCAGTTGGATGTACCGGTAACAGAACGCGATACTTTTCAGCCAAAGCTAAATACCCAGCCCTTTAGTAGTAACATTAGTAGACATATCGATGACGTAAATAGAGAGCCAAATGAAAATTCACCTAAAAATGTTCGAAATATGATTGAATTGCAAATATTAAAATTTACTAGTAGATTATATAATAACAACACAATTAACCGTTCAATAGTGCAAGAATTATTAACTAATACTTCTGAATTAGTATCAGGTATTTTTTCCAACTTACTTGCAAAGTTGAATTCTTCATCAATTAGTTGTTCAAATGACATTGATTACAAAGAATTAATTTCTATTCTATCATCTGATTTATTTTTATCCACAAACTCAGAATACAAACGATTTCTGCTCATGGAAAAACATGATGTTCTCATTAAACCTAAATCCTTTTATATTGGTAATATATTTGATAATAAAAGTTCTTCTGCTACTTCCTCTATTTTGAATATTAAAAAATGTGAAGGACAAATTATTCCACTGAGGATCGTGCTTCAAAAATTATTACTAATTCCCAACGTTCTAGAGCATATGCTAGAATACATCAGAACCGAAGAAGCTAATTCAGATCACATATCCAGTTTATTTAACAGTAGTTTGTGGAGATCAATTAAGACTAAATTTAAAGGTAAAGTAATTTTACCATTATATATGTACTATGATGATTTTGAAACGGGAAATCCATTAGGAACTCAAGCAGGGGTTCACAAGCTAGGTGGGATATATATTTCTTTTGCAGCTCTAGAACAAAAATATGCGTCACGGCTAGAAAATATTTTTTTATGGGGCCTGATTTATTCTTCTGACAAGGCGTTTTTTTCTAACGCAGAAATATTTAGACCTTTTATAGATGAACTAAAGTTTCTAGAATCCAAAGGAATTACAATTAATGGACAAAAAATATATTTTGTTGTGCCATTATTGTTAGGAGATAATTTAGGCATAAGTTCAATTATTGGCATGACTGAGAGTTTTTCTTCTAACTATTTTTGTCGTGCTTGTTTTTCTCACAAAAGCGCTACAAAAAATATGGCTGTAGAAGATTTAAATACGCTTAGGGATAAATATAACTATGATATGCATCTACAAGAAAAAACTCACGGCGTTAAAGATTATTGTGTGTGGAACGACTTATCTTATTTTCACAATACTGAGAATATACACTTTGACCTGATGCACGACTTATACGAAGGTGTTTGTCGATATGATTTTGGTAAAATACTGAAAGATTTAATATTTGAAAAAAAATATTTTACTATTAACATACTTAATAATCGTATAAAATACTTTAATCATGCGGACGTTGATATTGGTAATAAGGTACCACCAATTCCTTTAAATCATGTAGAAAATGAATTAATTATAATGTCATCAGCAGAAATGCATGCCCTTGTCACTTACTTTCCCCTGATGATTGGTGATTTAGTTGACACGATGGACGAAACATGGCATTTTTTTAAATTACTTTTTAATATTGTCCATATTGTATCAAAAAATAGAATTAATAAAAGTGAGCTAATTTACTTACAGTGTTTAGTTAATGAACATCATCAACTTTATATTTCTCTTTTTCGTGGACATTTGACACCTAAATTTCATTTTTTGACTCATTATTCAAGAGTTATCAACAACGTTGGACCCTTATCAAAACTTTCTTCAATTCGGTATGAAGCCTTTCACAAAATAAGCAAGTCTAACTGTAATGTAGTCTCTTCACGAGTAAATCTTCCTTATACCTTAGCTCTTAAACATCAATTAAAACTATCCTATAGATTACTTATAAATCGGGGATTTGTTGATAATGTCGAGATAAGTACCTATAATATATCTCCGCTAAGTATGCTCGAAATACAACTTTATGAGCGTATTATAGCAAACATTGAAGACTATTTTTTCGTAAAATGGATTAAAGTAAACGGAATTACATATAAAAAAGGGTTAGTTTTCCAGATTAGGCGTGATTTTTTTGGGGAGCCATTGTTTGCATTAATTGAAAATATAATTCATAATGAGAAACAACAGACGTACCTTATTTATAAAAAGATTGTTTGTTATGGTATTGACAAACATTATGAAGCTTACCAGGTTGAACATATTTTACCACAGATACTTGCTATCGACTTAAATGATGTTTATTGGCCTTTCCTGACACATATGCATACATGTGGCAATGGGAATCGATACATATCCTGTATGAATCAAGAACTATAGTTATCTATTTTTAGGTTCACAATCAAAATTAAGATTCTCAATTTTTACCGTTCCCGGAAAATTAGTTTATTAAAGGTCTTTCACATCCTCTCAGTTTAAATTCCCGATCGCTGCCGTGTGAGAATGCAGAGCATGCATACATTCCACCCGAATCGATAAAGAGGTTTAAAATGTCTATAATTTACCAGTTTAACATATTTTTTAGTTATTAAATTAAGCTACATTTTAAACCATCTTTAGCGATATTAACGTGAATTTCTTGTTTGGCTGTCTGTGGGTATAAATTTAAAGTTAGTTGCTGAGAAAATATTATTTTTAGTTGTTTTATAATTTTTTGCTATTTTGTTATTAATGAGAATGTCATATTTTAGTTCAATGTTATATGCTCGGTTATATTAAGGTATTTGTTTTTACCTTTAATGTTATTAATGTAAACATTTGTACAAGTTCTGTCTTTGAATTTTGTTTTTTTATTTAAATGTTTTTTATGTATTAAAATTTGATTGAAAGAAAATATTGTAGTTTTGTTTTCTTCAGAATTTCTAATATTTAAGACTCCTTTGCCTCTGGTATACAAGGTGTCTAATAATTGTTGCTACAGACAATTTGGACTACCTGTAGTGCCGTTTCCTTGCTTCCTACTAATATTTTTATAAAGGGTGGTTCAAAAAGCGCGCCGGTTTTGAATCGCCAACCATTTTGTTGTTTGTTGCTTAGAAACACTGTTTTGTATATCTACCTAATGTTAGCATCATCTGTGAATATTCCGATTTTATATATTTTTTTAATATAATACTTTGGGGTTAAGTCAAATCATTGGTTTCGAAATATTGACTAGAGTTAAGCACACTTTATACAAAACAGTGTTGCTAAGCAACAAACAACAAAATGGTGGGCGATTCTAAACCGGCGAGCTTTTTGAATCGCCTTTTATTTAATAAAAATAATAGTAATTATTAACAATTCAATTAATATCGTTATTTGTGACAAATTCTGTCATATTAATATTAAATAAGTTTATTAATTATTAATTTTTTACCTAACGCATAATTATTTTTTCTTTTTTATAATTAACAAACAAAAATTTATTATAAATAATAAATTAGGTATGCGTAATAATACATTTTTTATAATAAGCAAACCTTTATTTTTTATAAATAAATTGCATATTATTTACAAAATTTGTTTTCTAATCGCAAATAAATAATATAATTTTTAATCAGTATCATTATTTATAGTAAATAATTACCATGGTTAATATAAATAATACTTTATTTATACTTAACAAACCATTATTTAACCTAAATAAAATATATATGAAATATTAATAATTTACAGTTTGCTACTAATAGAGGTATATTTAAATAGTTTTAATTGATCAATTGTTTCTCAATAATAAAATTTTATTCCGCGCTATTTCAATCAACCATTTATTAAATGTTAATAAGTTTAGTGCATTATAAATAAGGTGTTTTCTCAGTGTAGTTGAGACACAGATAATTAGAATCGCACCATGTTTTTATGTTGATTAAGTCACTGGAAATGGTTCTATGAAGTGCCGTGGTGTCCGGGCTGCTCCATGTGAAACAAGTATCATCCGCGAAGAGACAGATTTTACCACTGATGTCCAGACTAGCAATATCGTTGATAAACAACAGAAACAAAATAGGACCTAGCACTGAGCCCTGAGGTACTCCGCATTCTATTGGCTTGCAAGAAGACACAGTCTTATCAACCCTCACACGCTGGTTTCTGTTGTTAAGGTAGGACTTAAACCATTCAAGAGATATCCCCAAAGCTGTTTACAGCAACACTAGAAGCAATCTTCCGTCAACTGGACTGGACCAAAAAAAATTAAAAATAGATGGGGAATATCTTAACCATCTAAGATTCGCTGATGACATATGACATAGTCCTAATAGCCAATAGTCCTGAACAGTGGCGCATCTAGAGATAGAATCTGGGAGGGGTAGTAGCAATATTTAAATAAAGTACTAAATTTAACCCTTTATAGGTTGATGGTCACTAAATCAACCACTTTAATTTAACCAACTAATCAGTCGCGTGGAAGTTTGTTTGCTATGCTTATTTCTATGGGCACTTTGGCCAATTAATCAACCATATCTGGCCAGTTGGCAGAACTGGCGCGAAAAGTTAACGTAAGCGGTTGAATATTCGACCAGTGAGCATTGGTGACACTGAGTTCGCTGTGTGTCATATACGTAATAATTATAGTCTAAGCATTTTCTATGCAAATTTCGTGTGATAAAAATTTAAAAATATAGAAACAAATGTATCTGTGACGTTTATTCCTTTTTATTTAGTGCACCCCACGGGGGTGTCACTTGTATGGGAAAACAGGCAACAGTCAAATTTAAACGTGCCAGGACCAACGACAAAGAAAGCAACATCTGCCAGGCATTGGCTTTCTTTGTCACTCACATTGCTTAAATCATGATACCGCGGCCATTTTGTCAACAAAGAAGCTGGCCGGACTGTCCTGGCAAGTGATTTAAAACAATTTTGCTTTTTACAATATTAAATTACCATTTGGATGTATTTAATGCGATTATTCAGTTAATTGGTAAGTCAGAAATTACACACAAATACTTTATTCGTAAATACAACTAAGATGTAAACGTACCGTAAAATGGGGGTGAATAGAAACATAGTGGTGAATAGAAACAAAATTTCTGAAAAAAATCAAATCACGATTAAAAATATTCAAAGTAAAAAAGAGTCGACATATCTAATTTTTCTATCATTGGTAATACACAATAAAATGTAAAAACTATATTTTTATCTGTGGCAGCACTGTTTCTGTCAATCAGCTGATCAATAAATGTGAGATCGATTTATCACCTATTTTGTATGGCGCAAAACTTTATAAATAAAATATTTATTTTTAAAGTAATACTTAAGCTGGTACATGTAAGTTGTTATATTATATGTATTGTTAATTATTGCTAAACCTACTTAAATATGTAATAATTATCTGTTTCTAATCACCTTGTTGGAAATAGAATAGATAAAAACCTTAACATCAATGTGTGTTTCTATTCTCCCGAAT